CTCTGTTTTTGGATAATTTGTAACTGCAATCTGAAAAGAGTTGGGTTTGGAACCACCTTTAAGGGGAGGTAACACCTCGTGCCTCCTCTTAGGGTTCTTCATGCTTGTACTATATCTATCTGTATTTAATAAAATACCATTCATTCATCAAAAAAAAAAATCTGTTCCTTAAGAAATAGAACTCTTCATTCTCTTCACCTTTTTCATTTGAAAGGCAATGACTTTGGCAATTACTTTATACACACTTACAACCAAGCTTATTGGCATATGGTCCCTTAATTCTTTATTTTTGTCACTTTCTTTGGAATTAAAGTAATGAAAGTGACATAAGTTTTTTTCTAGTTATGACTTTACATAAAACTCTTCAAAAACTTAAAATCCCTTAATGATCCCCCAACATTGCTTTTACAGAATGACATGGAGAATTGATCCAGAGCAAAAGTAATTCCCTTTACCATTTCATAAGTTACTGCCTTGACTTCTTCTTTAAATTCAATTCATTGGCTTACTTCTCTTATCCCATTATTCATGTATTATGTGAAACAGAAGCACTCTCTACTGTCTCTCAAGCCTGTCATAACTTCAATTAATCTCTTGTAAATAAATGATCAGCAGTTGGATTCTCTCTTCTCTTTGCATTTACAAGTCATTGAACAGAAGCTTTCTCCTCTTCCCAATCCAAAGCCAATTTTGCTTCAACTAAATTTCTATGGACATTTTGGTGTTTTACATTTCATTTGCCGGGCAACCTTTGTTTCTCTACCTCCTATAGGTGGAAATTCATTAGCTTTTCTGCTATATATCTGAGACTCAAAGGAACAATGCTAACCCAAGTTGTTTCCATATTTCAAAAGCCTAGTGCCAAAGTAAATTATTTGACACCTGTGGGGATTTGAGTTTCTTTTGGCAAGATGAAGTAGTATTATATATCTGGTAAAGGAAAACCTAGGAATCTTCCAAATATTAGTGAGTAGGGATTCATTAACATAACCCAGGAATCTTCCAAATATTTGCAGTTAATTTTCCTTATATAGGCCAATGAAAATGGATTACCCAGACACATTATCTTGCACAAAGAGATCTAAACATGCCAATCATCTATGCGGCAGTGCTGGTGGCAGACAAAATGGTTCTACATGTTTGGAACATCACTTTCTGTTCATGTGGCAAGTTTGAGCCCTGAAATCAGCCTTGTGGAAATGGAAATGCTTTTTTCTGGTTAAATTCTGAAAGCTGTAACTTTTGCTAAAAGAGCTTTCTACATTAGAGCTTCTGTTGGCTGAAACAGAAGAGGTTAGTGGTTAACCATTTAAATTATATGTAAGACCTATTCTAAAAAAAATTAAAAAGCAATATGACAATCTTTGCCTTCTTGATCCTCCCTCTCCCTCTCCCCAATGGTGTATTTGATTGCCAAGAAACGACTTAGAAAATAAGAATATTCGCCTAAGATGCCATATTTCATGCATTTGTTTTGGGGGATGGGATGAGAAAAAGTGGGACACAGGTTCCAAAAACTCAGGATGCGGGGTTGCAGTGAAATGGTGTGACCCCACTGAGAAGAGACAATTGTGAGAAAAAAAAATTTATCAGGCTGCACTTTTCAGTTTCTGTTGTCTTCCTCACGACACCCCAGATTTCTGTCAACAATAAAATCTCTGATCAAGGTTCCAACGATCTTTCGTCAAAGTAAGAGTAGATCGTGATCTACAATCCCTGGCCACCCATCTTCAACCTTTTTTCTTTCCATTCATCAGCCTAGGCCTCCAGCAAGACATCACCACTTGCCGAGTAGAAGCCATGGAGTCCGGCATCCTTGGGCTTTTTTTTTGCAGATCTACACTTCCATCATGTAGATCTAACAGTTTTGATGATTTTTCTGCAATTAGAGCACAAAAACAAGACTTGGTAAGATTTTATCCTCTATCCTCGTCTATTTGTAATATCTAGTTTGGAAGGTAAGATTAGAAATTGTGCTGAAGAACCGTAGAGAGATTCTCGAGTGACACTAGATGTGCTCAAACCAATCACATCTAAGCATAAACAAGGTTCACCTATTTTATCATACTAGTATGTGTGCACGTGCTTTGCACGTGGAAATTCTAGATAATGATAATCATAGTAATGATGCGTCTAAAAATAACAATAAATATGTATTTTTTATTTCTTGTTTTATATCTTGTTTATTTTTTATTATTAATTGTGTGCAGATTGCAAAATCCAAATATGATTTTATAAAAACCTCATCTAAATATATGATAATCAGACCGAGTTGTGAAGTTTCAAGCATCATTGACAGGCCTACATGCTTGGTTAGACTCTTCTTTTTGTAGTATCTTTTTTCTTTTGTTGATTTATCAAAAAAATGTAAGTTTAAAATAGAGGAAATTTAATGAGGTGAAAAGTAGTAGTTCTACAATTTAAACCTTACAATTAAATATGGACTAAATTAAAAAATGAGTATTCATTACTTTTAATAGCAGTGTAAATATAGAATTATAGATGCGTTCGATTTTTTCTATAATTTTTGTATTTTTGTGTGTAAAAACAATTTTGATATGTCATGCTTACTTTTTGTTTAATATTATAATTATATAATATTAAACATGTGCCTAAAAGTTTTTTTTTTTTGCAAAACTTATATATTTTTTCATTCTTATATTCTTATATTTTATTAATTTTTACTGTTTATGTATGACATTAAATGTTAACACATTTGACCTAAAAGTTGAATTATTGATCTTTGTCAAATAGTAAAATAATTTTATTTTTAGTCAGTTCTAAATTATGCATTTCATTTTCATTATTTGTTGAGTTTGGGCCGATTTTAAGTTATTGGGCCCAACTTTGTTTTATTTTTATTTAAATTATTTAGTTAGGAAGTTATTGGGCCTTAGGCTCATTAGTTTTTATTGAGTTTAAGTTGTGATTGGTCAGCTACTAAGTAGCCAACCTATTAAGGGTATCATTGTACTTTTTGTTCTTTTTATAAAGTATATAAATCAAAGAGGGGTTGGCGGCCAGATCTATTCAATTCTGGCGACATCCCACTCTTTTCACAAAGATCACACTAAAACAACTTTTAGCAACTTTTACTTGGTATCAGAGCAGGTCGAAGGTTTCTTGAGCTGCTCCATCATGCTGCCCTGGATCAGCCAACTGCATAGTGATGTGAGAGACTGATCGAAGACCTTAGGTAAGCCCAATTTTTGGATTTTTTTGGTGAATTTGTTTTGCCCTATAGTTGGTCTAGGGTTTCCCATCAAATTCAGGAAGAACTGGAAAAAAGGGGGAGAGTCATGTTTTTGTAGGACTCTTCAATTTTGACTTAGGAAGTGGTGCCCTAGTAGTTTTTTTAGGGTTTCTTGGAGTTTTCTGAAGGGGGCGGTTCAAGTCCCACCTGTTTTGGAGGCCTTTGGAGGGAGCAGTTGCTTCTTCTCTCCTCCAGCTCTCACGAAAAAGGAATCTTTTGTGTGAGGAGCATCTAGGGTATCAGAAGGGTATTCGTGGTGCCTGAAGGAAATTATTCTATATTTATTCATCTTAAAGTGATTTTCTAACCCTTTTTTGGGCATAATTGAGGGTCACAGAGTTGAAAACAAATCGGAGTGTGAAATGGGACAAGGGGGAGGTGTCGAAGACCTTTTCAGGGCTGGGACCATCACTGCAATTAAGTTAGATGGTACAAACTATTTAGAATGGTCACAATTTGCAAAGATGGCCATTGGTGCTCGTGGGAAGTTGGGGTATATCACTGGTGAGGAAGTGAAACTCGAGACTAACTACTCCTGGTGGGTATAGGAAAATTATATGGTAATGACTTGGTTGTGCAATTCTATGTTGCTCCATACAAGTAAAAATTTTTTGTGGGCAAATACAACTAAGGAAATTTGGGATGGGGTTGCAGAAACCTATTGACAGAGTGAAAATGTTGCTAGGGCTTACTAGTTGAGACACTAGGTTATTGCTACCAAATAAGGAAATAAACCTATTGTTGTTTATTTTTCGATCCTTAAAACCCTATGGCAGGAGATTGACCATCTAGAGACAGTGGTTTGGGAAAGTAGTAAGGATGCAACAACCTACCAGAAGCTCTAGAGTCTTTGAATTTCTTGTTGGCCTTAATCCCGAGTATGACATTGCAAGGCAACATATCCTTTCTATGGATAGTGTTACTTTCTCTCAGGCATATGCCTTTGTATCAGGGGAAGAGAGTAGGATGAATGTGATGATGAAGAATTCGGGTTTTGAGCAGTCAGCTATGGTATAGTACTGTGAAATCTAAACAGAGTGGAGATAGGGGTGGAAATGAAATCAGCAAGGAAGATAAGGACCTAATATGCGACTACTGTAAGAAGTCTAAACACATGAGAGATACTTGCTGGAAGTTTCACCTTCACCTTGTGTCGAATAGACACAAAAAAAAGGGAAATGTGAACATGGTAGTAACCGGTGAGTTACCTGGACCTCCTACTACAGCTACTTTGGAGTTTATTGCAACTGCCGCAGTGTGGGTCAAACTTGAGAGATATGGGTAGTTACTTAATCCGTTATCAGGTGGACAACTAGGTACAAGTGGATCTGGTGGTGGACATTCTACTTCTTTTGCCCATACAAGTAGTTCACATGCCATTGCAAACTATGTTTCTACTTCAGGTAAGGAGGGACCTCTTTGGATTATAGATTCTGGAGCCTCAGAGCATATGACCCATATTTTCACTATTTTCTCCTCATACCAACTCTGCTCTGGTAGAGACAGAGTTTCCACAACTAATGGATCTCATGTTCTCATTGCTGGAAATGGGTCGTCTGTCAAGATAACTGATTCCATTTCCCTACCATCTGTCCTCCATGTACCCAGATTGAGTACTAACTTGTTATCTGTTAGTAGTTTGACTAAGAACTTGAATTGCTCAGTGATTTTTTCTCTTGGCCATTGTATTTTGCAGGATCTGGTTTCAAAGATGACAATTGGGAATGGTCATGAGATGAATGGAATCTACCTTCTAGATGCACTTCTTAGTCATCAGAATCATCATGTCAATAGGGATTTTGAGTCAGAGTCTGTGGGTCAGATTATGCTTTGGCATAATCGGTTGGGACATTTATCTTTTTCTTCTTTGCGTTTCTTATTTCCAAAGTTATTTGAGTGTGTTAGTTTATCTAGTTTAGAGTGTGAAAGTTATCAGTTTGGAAAACATTGTAGACATTCCTTTAAAACTAGTCATAAAAGATGTTCATATGCTTTTGATGTTATTTATATTGATGTGTAGGGACCATACCATGTTCCTTCTATGGGTGGCTACCGATACTTTCTTTTTATTTGTGGATGATTTTTCTCGATATTCTTGGATTTACTTGATAAGATCCCATAATGAGGTGCCACCCTTGGTTCGACAGTTTTATCAGATGGTGCTAACACAATTTGGGGTACGAGTGAAAGTGTTCAGATTAAACAATGCTAAGGAATATTTTGAAAAGAACATTGCTTCGTATCTATCAGAGTATGGAGTAATTCATTAGAGCAGTTGTTCTTACACTCCATAGCAAAATGGTGTAGTAGAAAGGAAGAACAGACACGTTGAGATTGCGATGAGCATGATGATAACATCTATTGTTCCAGTTTGATTTTTGGGTGATGTAGTTCTCATAACAATCTTTCTAATTAATAGGGTGCCTTTTCGTGTTCTTGGATATAGTACCCCATTCAACCTTCTTTTTCCTGAGGGAGAGATGTTTCACATTCCTCTCAAGGTTTTTGGTTGTGTTTGCTTTGCTCATGTTCTTGGTCCTCATCGCTCAAAGTTTGATCTGAATGCAAAGAAGTGTGTTTTTCTTGGGTATGTAGAAAATCAGAAAGGATACTGTTGCTATGATCCAGTCTTTGGGAGTCGGTATGTTAGTATGGATGTCACATTTTTTGAGCCCACACCTTTTTTTCTAGAAGG